TGAAGTGGTCCTCTGTTTATAATGCAGACAACAGTCTGCATTTTTAAGTTGCATTTTAAAATACTTTAAAAAATAAATATCACATCAAATATTTATAGAATGAGGCTCCTGAGAATGCAGGACTAGCCCATTCCAGACCAATTCTTTACAGATAACAATTAGTGGACAAAAATACACTTTGCAACTATTGAAGGCACTGGAGAGAAATAAAAATCAGAAGGACACCAGAGGATTGAGACTCAGAAGGAAAATCTTCAGGTGCATTTCCTATTTTTTAGTGGCTTTTTGCCTGAGGACAGTCTTCATCCTGCCAAGCAGGGCAGCTACACTTCAGTAGGAAACCCATAGATTTGCTGGCTTACCCCACACTCTTACTGGCTTAAAAAATAAAAGGACCAAGGTCAGAGTAACCAGAACAGGTAGAAAGTGACAGAGAATACTAGAATGGAGAGCCAGAGAGGAGGATCTGAAAATTCTGTGTAAAACTGCCCAAATCTCTGGTTGATCCTGTAACCAGGTGTAACGCAAAGGCAAACTCAAAGCAACCTGGCTAAGCTAAACAAACTTCTGAGAGTTTTGTTGTTATCCATCGCAGGGCAGGGTGGAGAGAGTTGGGAGCTTAATTCTAGTCAGGGCAACTCCCTTAAAAATCACTACTTTTCAGAGGAACATGACAAAATCCAGAGTTTCTGAAGTATTTATAAAGTTTAGGATATAATCCCAAACTACTGGGCATGCACTCAGGAGAAAAGACAATCATTAGACATTGATCCTGAAAAGATCTACATGTTGGAATTAGCACTCAAGGGTTTTTAAAGAGCTAGTGTAACCACGCTCAAAGATGTAAAGGAAACTAAGCTTGTAATAAACGAACAGGTAGGGAATCTCAGCAGAGAAATAAAGCTATATTAAAAAATAGGCAATTCTACAATGGAAACAAAAGGTCAGAATAAAAGATTTATTAGATGGGCTCTAGAGTAAATTGTAGGTGATGGAAGAAAGAGTCAGTGAACCTGAAGATAAATGAATAAAAATTATCCAATCTGCAGAACAGAGAGAAAAGTAATTTTTAAATCAAAAGAGCCTCAAGAAATTGTGGGCCAACCTCAAAAGGTCTAATATATGTGTAATAGGAAGGAGAAGAGAGAAAGAAAGGGACGGAAAATATATTGGAAAAAGTAATGTCCAAATATTTCCCAAATTTCATTTAAGACATAAATTTACAGATTTGAGCTCTGAACCCCAAAAGCACGATGAATGCAAAGAAAATCATACCTCAGCATGTGGAGCAACATTGTTGATGAGTTTAAACTAATACAGCCACTTTGCCCAAGTCTGTCAATTTCTTTTAAAACTAAACATACACCGACCTATGACTCAGCAATTTCATTCCTGGTTATTTATCTAAAATAGATGAACAGGTATGTCCAGAAAGGAATTGTATTGTCTTACCAAGAAAATGGATAAAACCACTGTGGTATATTCATACAATGGATTCACATAACTACTATGTGACAAAAAGGAATAAAATATTGATATATGCAATGACATGAATGGATTTCAAAAACATTATGCTAAAAGAAGCCCGGTGTGGCTCAGTTGGTTAAGCATGTGCCTTGGGCTCAGGTCATGATCTCAGGGTCCTGGAATCGAGTCCTACATCGGGCTCCCCGCTTAGTGGGGAGTCTACTTCTCTCTCTACCCCTCCCCCCTGCTCATGATCTCTCTCTTATGCTCTCTCTCAAATAAATAAAATCTTAAAAAAATAAAAGGTGTAAAATTGTACTGACTGCGTTATTCCATATATGTGAAGTTCTTCAACAGGCTAAATCAACCTATAGTTTATTTTTTATTTTTTTCAATCAGTTTAAAAAAAAAACAAAAAACCCCACAATGGTGTTTGCTGCAGAGACTGGGACAGAAGAGAGCAGACTCTGAAAGGGAATGAAGCAACATTCTGAGGTCACAGGGATGTTGTCTTGATGGGATTTGCACTACAGGAGTGTACACATTGTTACAACTCATCGGTATATGTAGGATGTTGCATTTTACTTTTTACCTTAAAAGTATTAAATATTATCTATAAATATTAAACTCTATGATATGTATACTGAGTGCTCAGAGGTAAGTGTACTGCAACTTACTTTGACATGCATAAAATAAGGTGGATTGATGGATGGATAGATGGATTGATATGGTTCTATGGGCGTTTACTAAACAATGTTCTTGTAGATTTCAATTTTTTCATAATAAAATGTTGACGGGAGGGATGTTTACCTAACTCTTGAGGTCTAGTGTGGAACAGAAGGACCTTAGTTTGAAACTCAAGAACTAAGAGACCAAGCTTGGAGTCCCAAGCAATGCGAATGATGGTCTGTTACCCCATTTCTAACACTAGGGAGCTGGACTAGCTGGACACTGAGGTGCCTTCTAAATATACCATTAGTCTAAGGCCCAAGGCTGTCAAGATCAATGAATAACCATCAGGCTGCAAATAGGAAGACATTTTCTGTACATTTGTAGCTGCAGCTGTGGTGGTGTTTGTTGGCTCAAAAAGCTCCCTCAATTCTGAGTGCTGGGCATGGGAAGGTGTCTACCATTTTTGTATATGGTCTCATGACGTCCCTCTTCCTCCTGCCTCTTCCATTTCAAATACTTTGGTCCCCTTATTATGCCATACTGTCTTTCCCACCGTAGGGGTTGCAAATGCTGTCCCACTCTTGAGAAACTCTTTTCCCTTCCCTCAACCCCTAAGCTCCTGTTCATTCTTAGACCTCAGCTTCCCTTGGCCCACAGACTAGATTGGGCACTCCTCACACCACCCCTTAAAGTAAAATGATCTAAAATTATTTGATAATACTTAATGTTTGTCTTTCTCTTTAGACAAGAAGCTCCATGAGGACGGAGACTGGCCTCCATCTTCCCCAAGTGAGTTGCAGACACTGTTAAGTGTCAGGCACTATTCTAGGCGCTCTATACCTATTACTGCATCCAAGCTCTTCTTAGGCCTTCACATATTTATTGATGAAGAAGCCTCCCCCTCTGCCTTACAAACACCAACCAGTCAATAAATATTTACCGACACCTATCAAGTGTCAGGCACTGTGCTTGGTAAACAGCATATAAGAGTAAATAAGAGGCCCCATGCCTGCCTCACTAAGTTCAGTCTTGTAGGAAATACACCGAAAGAAAGTGGGACCTATTCATCAAATGACAAGTATATAATAAGGGGGAAATACAGGTTACAGGGTAAAATATTTCATTTTTTTTTTTAAGTTGCACACAATTCATTTTTTGGTAAAAAAGTAACTCTGACATCCATCCATTCACCTAGTCATTCAACAAGGGGCTGCTCACCATCTAGCAGATTGGCCGTGTGCTCTCCAGATACAAAGATGCAGACGGTATTCACGAAACACGCCGTCCGGAGGGGAGGCTGTGGGGAGACCCAGCTAGAACTCTGGGAAACGGGTGTTGTGGGAGGTGGACACGGCGGGCATGGGCAACTCAAGAGGCAGCTGTTCCAGAAGCTCATTCCAGCCAGCTTTCCCAAACGTGGCCACACTTACCTCCCCGACTCAGTTCCCATTGTCCCCCAGGTGCACACTCCCCCCAGAGTGAGTTCGATGTCAACCAAGGCCCTTGACCAGCAACTTAACTTCATGCTAGTTGGCTCATATATAAAATAGAGAGAATGCCCATTTTAAAGGGTTATTGTAAGGACTGAATGAAAGCATCCCATAAGCAATAAATGGTACAGAGTATTCATCACTATTACTGAGACTAGATGTGGCCAAGACGCCTCATCTGAGCATGTGGCTTCCTGCTCCCAGAAAGGCTTTTTCTAATTATGCCAGTGCTTCCCGAGTCACTCCCAGAATCCAATCTGAACTCTTGGATATGCAAAACTTATGCAGAAATTTAAATGGAAATCAGAGTGGTATCTTTTGCTATCTCATAATGAAAATGCTAATTAAAAACTCCACCCAACCCCCAACTTCTCCCCTCCCAAAAAGGTTAAACACACAACACCATTATCAATGAGCAAAACCTTTTAGGGTTAAAAGTGTAATTTTATTTAGATGTTACTTGTACATAATCTATAGTAAGATATACAAACAGATAAAAATTGTTTAACAGGAGGTGTGTTTTTTGTTTTTTAATACCACTTTAAATTCAATTTACAACAGCATTGGTAATACTGCAAGGTGACAGATACTCTGATTTATAAAACAAAAATTACTTGCTACTCTGGCTGATACATTCCCACTAGTCTTTAATGGATTAAAATGTATCATGTATTCCAGTTGCAAATTATTACAAAACTTTCACAACCTAGCCACTTGGTGTTCAGAAAAGATTTTGATATTCTAAAATTTACGGAAGTGAAAATGTTAATTTTCTAACCATATACTTTCACTAAAGAAAAACGTAAGTGTACCAAATCTCATGGTTTGGGGTTAACAATGGAAAAGCAACCACGTTATGTTTGTGTAAGCTAATGTGTGGTACCGAGTAACCTTCTCATCCCCTTGCCTAATCTATGATATGAGAAAAAAGCTTGTAAGAAATTAATCTAAAATACACATGGGGGGAAAAATCTGAGGGCAATTTAAAATAACCTTACAATATTATAACTACTACTTGAAAAATGTAAAATCCGTAGATATGAAATATGCTTTTAAACGTTTTTCTCCATTCATTTTGGTAAATAGTTCTTGAAAATGAAAACTGAAAATTCAAAATATTCACTTTTTCCTTTTCATGTAATAGCACATTAGAAAAAGTCTGGATTTAATTTTAGAATAAATCAGATTTGCTGAGAAAAATACTGCAAAAATAATCTAAATTGAATTTTAGTCATTTTCCATTCTTTTAAAGGCTACGCAACACATTAGGGCAAAAGGTTTTCACTAGTCGGAAAATCAAGTCGAAAATAACTTGTTGCTTAAACCACAGGAAGACAACTAATAATTAATAGGCTTATGAATATTTATGAATAAAGTGCCAGTAATTTTATTGTAATAAGATATAAATAGAAGAAATCCTGACATGGATAGTAGCTTTATGTGTTCTCTTCATCCTGAGAACAGAAGGGACATAAAAAACAAAGAAGTGTTACCAAATAGAAGTTCTAGAATTATACAAGTAATTCCTAACTGAAAAGGAACCAAAAAAACAAAATACTGTAATAAAGATAAAATCAGACTACAAATGGTAAAAGTCCCAAGAATAATGCCAACACAGTAGGCCTTTTTTATGCTGGAAAAAAAGGGGGGGGGAGAAATCAAAGAAAGAAATGTAAAAGTCCATTAATAACTACCACTTATATTCAATAAAATTATAGTGACTAGCTCCAAGAAACAGAAACTCGAGAAGCATGTGCCCAAACGGCTAGTACAGCTGAAAAGCCTCAGGTAACCTGATAGAAGAAGCATGGTCTCGGGAAGGGGATGCAGACATTATTAGGCTTTTCAGAGTTTCAAAATCTACATGACTAAAGCCCAATGATGACCACCCACAAGCCGAATCAATGTCCACTTGGGGACACACAGACATGGTTTGGGGGCGCCGCTGAAGTCCTCTCAGGAGGACTCATTAACAAAAATCCATTGGTCATGGTCCTGTTTAGACGACTACCATGAACCAGACAAGTCTGTCTTGAGCTAAAGACTCCTTCATCATGACAGACAGTCACAAATAACTGCCATCCGTTTGAAAGGCTGTATGTAGGTAAGAGTCCCTAGTAATTGAAGTATTTTAGTATATTTGTGAAGTCTATCTATAATCGACGCCTGGGGGCGTTTCTTGATTCTGAACAGGCAGTTACCCTTCACCCAAGATTACAAGAGCAAAGCTGCCATCCTATTTTCCAGTGCTCTGCTCTCACCAAGATAATAAACCCCGGGGGTCTCTCGAATGGCCATGTGGGAAGAACGGCAGTTAGGGCTAAGGTGAAAGGAAAGTGATCTGGAACAGCTACACGTCTAATCTAATCTGAGGTACTTTTTTAAAATTTAATGTGCTGTGCTGAGGACAACATGAGAAAAGAGAACCGTGTGCTTCTAGGAGTAGGGCCAAGGCCCTACTTGGGTGATGGATCCCTAATCTGGCCACAGCACCAGGAAAAGCGAATAGCTGTCAGCATCTACTTTCACCTAAAATCTAAGCTTTAAAATCCAGACCAAGTGGAGCGAGGTGCCACGGGGAAGCACTCTCTGGAGCACACCGGGGAGCCAGGAACTCCACCGGCCTTAGGACGCGGCTCCGGGGAAAGGCGGGGGCGGGGGAGGGGGTGTTCCTCTGCACCGGGCGGACCCCCGCCCCCCCGTGTCCGTGTGGCTGGCTGGCCCCGGGGGCTCTAGGGGCTGCCAGGTGTTCCCAGTGTCAGCCCCGATCCCTCCCCCCGCCGCCGAGGAAAAAGAACCCTGTTCTTCATTTTCATGACAGCGCAGCGGCTGGAACCTCTAAACAGAAATCATCAACAAGCATCGACCAAGTGAGTGCCCGCAGGGAATCCTGCCTGGAAAGGATCCTTCCAATTTCACATTTCACAAGAGCGTGCAAAGGAAACCAAATCATCTCACAGAGCGTTCCGATTCACACAGAGGCGACCGAGCCAAGAAACGGAAAGCAGCAACGCTTGACTCTCCTTGTTAAATCTTTCCCTCTGGAATCAACTTCTTCGGAAACACATTTGAAACAAACAAAAAAGGGTGAAACGGTCCACTTACTGATTGGAAGACATCACTCTGACACACGGTCATTAATCTTGCAAAGACCTAACACCAGGCAGCTTCACAACACACAGCAAGTCTGCAGAATTATAGTGATCAAGAAGAGGAAACCCAAACCGCACTAAGTACTTTCATGGCCAAGAAAAAGTAAGCAAGAGGCTGTTTTCAGGACAATGCGATAGTTACAGCGTATTTCCTCATGTGCAGCACAATTTGCTATGTTTAGTGGCACTTAAGTATTACACAGTAAATACTGAAAAAACCCAGAATTTTTGGATGTGCAAAAGCAATATCACATTATTAATACAAAAGGTGCTAAGCTACAGGATTATAATACCACTATGTGGGTGCTGAGACCACTTAAAATTTTCAAGACATTTCCGACACATGGTCTCGTGGTGGCCGCCGGGCTCAGCAGCGTGCCGCCTCGCTGCGCATGCGCGCCGCCTCAGTCGGACCAGTCGTTCTCATCAAACTCCGAGTCGTCGTCAGAATCGCTGTACTCCACGGCGATGCGTCTGGACAGGATCGTGGCCACGTCATTCCCGACTGGCTCGCGCTTGGCCTCTTGCTCGCGCTGTTCTTGTACCTTTTTCAACTGAATCCCTGGGGACACAACCCGAAAAGGAGAATTAGAATCCCTCTACTTGCTCCAAATTAAAGAAAACAAACTAATAAGTCTATTTACCTTCTCCCACCCCGCTGACACCAAAGGTAAAAAGTTTTGGAAACCTGAGATGAGAAAAGCTTGGGAAATGGAAGTTTTGTGACCCAAAAAAAAAAAACAAAAACGAAAACGTACTCAAAGTTGTAACACTGTTTGTAGTAATGTGTTGAAATAAAAAAAAAACTTAGAATTCCAGTGCACATGAACATCATGAAAGAAAATTCTGGAGCTGCACCTTCCATTATGGTAGCCACATGTGGCTAATAAGGTAAATTTATTGTGCCTAGTGGCTACCTTATTGGACCATACAAACATGGAACACTTCTATCATGAACATATCCTGGACACTGCTGTAATCCAAAGGCTTGGAAAGCAGCATTTTACGCTAATAGCTTTTGGCTAGTTCAGGGAGGTAACGGAGATCTTTGTTTCATCAACTATTGCTAAAAATTAATATAAAATACAATGGTCTACTTTCTTGTTAAGTAACAGTGGGTAACAAAGATGATTTAAAGTTAATTCTTTAACTTTTTCCTTTGAAACAATTTCAGATTTTATGGAGTCCCTGTAAGACTGGTAGAAAAATGGGCCCCTGGGTGGTGCAGTCGGTTAAGCATCCAACTTGATTTTGGCTCAAGTCATGATCTCAGGGTTCCATGATTCAGGCTCCATGCTGGGCGCAGAGCCTGCTTAAGATTCCTTCTCTCCCTCTCCCTCCGACCCTCCCCCCACAAAAGAAAGACTAGTAGAAAAACATCCCCATAAAACCTAAACCCAGATTCCCCACCTGATAACATCTGACCACTTCGTTTTAGCAACCTTTCTCTATCATTCTTGCTAATACACACACACTTTTTTCTGGACCACCTGAGAATAAGTAGCATATAATGTTCCTTTGCCCCTAAAATACTTCCTGTGTAATTCCTAAAAAACAATGATCAAAATGGTTAAGCAACTGCCTTCGGCTCGGGTCATGATCCTGGAGTCCAGGGATCGAGTCCCACATCAGGCTCTCTGCTCAGTGGGGAGTCTGCTTCTCCCTCTAACCTTCCCCGCTCTCATGTACTCTCTCTCTCTCATTCTCGCTCTCTCAAATAAATAAACCTTTAAAAAAAATCAGGCTATTAGCACAGATACAATACTATCATCTATTCTACAAATTTTATTTAAATTTTGCCAGTAGACTTAACAGCAGCAGAAAGTTTTCCACCAGGCCTAGGATCCAACATGGGAACACCCATTACATTGGTTGTCATCTTTCATTAATGTCCCTTAACCTGGGCAGTTCTTCAGTCTTTGTGTTTTCTGACCTTGACATTTTTGAAGAACAGAGGCAGCTCCTTTGTAGACTGTCCCTTGATGCGGGCTTCCTGTTTCCTCATGATTAGATCCTGATTACATGATCACTCATTGGAAGGGGCTCACAGGTATCCAAAAACAAAAACACTGTCCTACTATGACCCTAAATTTATCAGTGAGGTCGCATAGCTCTGGGACTTCTTTTCTTGACAAAATCCAAGTGTGTCAATGACGTTGAAGACCTACGAGAAGGCTGGGCTTGTGTGCCACACTCGGGTCTGATTTGTCGGCACTCAAGCAAAAAGCAGAGGCAGTAATGTCCCAGCCGTCCTGGGAAGGATGTCAGTGATGCCTTTCTCAATCCCTTCCAGGTGGAAACAACAAGCCTGTGACCAAGAGATGGTGCAACTCCCCACTGAATGAGGAGCTCCTAGGACATCCGCACACCCTGTCAGTGACCCTCAACCGGCCTGGGCTGTGGCTTGGGGCTGAGAATAAACGGGGTGGAACAGATGGTCAGTGTGTGGTGCTGAGGGGATGCCAAAACGGGTGAGCGTCTGGGCTCCTCCATCCTGATTTGACCAGAGAGGCTCTATTTCTGTATGTCTCATGTTCTGGGGTTCAGTGTAGGACTTTTATCCGACAAAAGAATCTTGCTGCTAAATAAATGTTGAAAAACTTACTGGCTTAGCACATCAAGCTAAAAATATGGAAAGTCTAGGACATAGCTCAGCTTTTTAAAAATAACTCAATCACTGATACGAGCTCACTTTCTTTCATTTATACATTTACCCTTAGAGTAGATGCAGAGAAAAGATCCAATTAATCAATGATCATTTTTATTATCTATTTCTAGTCAAGTACAGCTTTCCTGAATTCTCTCGATACTCTATTATTGTGTATTTATCTTGCACTGGCAAAAACAGGTCTCCTGTTAAAAAAACAAAATCAAACAAGTGTCCTTTAACCCTATTCTAAAAAACAGTTCAGTGGAAAGAGCAGTCATTTGAAGAAGACTAGGCTGTAGCTGGTTAGAGCCATAAAGAAGTCTCTTTCTAAAAGGAACACTGTGTTTGAGACGCTCACTTACCCATTCGAATGGCAGCGAGAAGATCGCTTCGAGCATCACTTATGGGTGGCTGTGCCGTCTCTAGGCGCTTTGCCTCAGCTGCGGGGGGGCCATGCATTGGGGAGGACGAGCGAGAAGAGCCTGCGCCAGGGGGGCCCGGCGGAGGAGGTGGTGGGCCCGGAGGTGGCGGGGCTGTGACCACGAGCCCAGCGGTGGGAGGGTGAGGAGGAGCCGGATAGGAGGAGCCCGCGGAGGCAGGGAAGGGGGGCTGCATGGGGATCTGGAGGGGGCTGACGAAAGCAGTTTGTGCTGAAGGAATCATGGGGGCTGGTGGAGGAGGAGGAGGTCCTGAGGGGTTGTAATACTCAATTATCTGTGCTGGCAGCATCCTAATAAAGAGATGAAATACACAGAGTCACTAAAGCAGCAACAGAGTCCCATCCTCTGTGAGTCGAACATGGCTTATTCAGGGGCCTCCCCCAAACACAATATATATTGTCCTCTGAACTCAGAACACTGCAGGATGCAAATATCCACACTTTGGGTCAGTCGTTCTTACAGGTCTACATTATTCACTATGATGAAATTCATCTACTCAAATGAACCAGAAAGAAAACCACTCTAAAAGTAACTTTTGGGGCACCTGGGTAGCTCAGTTGGTTAAGCGTCCCACTCTTGATTTTGGCTCAGGTCATGATCTCAAGGTCCTGAGATCAAGCCCCCACGTGGGGCTCCGTGCTCGGCGTGGAGTCTGCTTAGGATTCTCTCTCCCCTCCCTCTGCCCATCCCCCACCTCCCGCTTGCGCTGTCTCTCTCAAATAAATAAATCTTTTTTAAAAAGTAATTTTCTGTGGAAGTTTGGTTAGAATAAAACAGTTGAATACAAAGGTTATGAAGAGCAATTCAAATCTATCCTTCATACTGGGCATCTCAAAGGTGGGTGGCTCACAAACTTGTCTTAAAAGGGTTCTGTGGTCAGTCAGATTTGGAAAATTCTGTATTTTGTATCTCATCCCCCTGGAAATTCCTCAAGCCCACAGTGGCCATTAGAATATCAAAATCTTTGAAAAGTCCTACACCTAAGAAGTCCACTGAATCCTACTTGGCAAAGGGTTTTCCAAACCAACTGGACAAGTGGACCACAGACCCTCTCTTTGCCAGACCTTTAGTTAGAGCCTCAAACACACTCTGGGGACCCTTAAAGAGAAGCAATGGAAGAGAATCTCTGAAAGTGGAGGGACGTACATTTAGAAGGTGATATACACTGCTGTGGACTGAAGAACACACACGCTAATGTAAACACACACATTCAACTTTCCCGGGCACTGTCTCCGAGAGGCTAACTCTTTAAAGATTACGGTTAAGCCAGAAAAGAGAGGACAAAAGAGAGCCTATCAAAATAAAGGTGGGTGCTTACATTACTCAACACTTGAGCATGAGGGTCTTTCTTTAGGAGGTGTTTAGATTTTACCCAAGTGACAGAAAACAAAAGGACCTGGGGGTAGAAGGACATCTGGGCACCAGGAGATCAAGAAAGGGAACTATATGGTCAAGCACAAGCAGGGGCTCAAGGGGTGGCTGCCCTGGATGGTTTCCTCACTTGTGATAGGAACTCTCAGTGGTTCACCCAGAACACAGACAGAGGCTTGAGAGTTTGGGACAGGTTCACAAAATCAGCGTTTCATCCTTTCTCAATGCCTTGGCTTAGCAATGCATTCAAACACACCTAAAAGTACGTATGAAGGGAGTTTATATACATGAATACAGATACAAACCTGAGATCTGTCTGTAATAAAAAGGGGAGCAGTATGACACCGAATATTTTAACACAGAATTGGTTATAACTGGTAGTATCTACATCCAGTCATCCTTGGCCACATCTGGCCCCTAAGGTATGATTATTCAGTTAACATTTTTAGACCACACATAGCAAACCCCAACATGATAGCAAGCAGAGGTAGAAGACAGGAGTCCTGAGTTACCCGTAGTCTGCTGGCGCCATGGGGGCGGAGGCCTGGGACCCCTCTGCGGCCTGCGGTGGGGGTGGCGGCGGCGGCTGCTGGGGTCTGTTCAGGGCCATGTGCCTCACCGAGGCGGAGGGGGGTCGGTACTCATGCTCGGGGGCCTGGGAGGCTGGCCCGTGCGGGGGCGCGTCCCCCGCTGCGTAAGAAGGGGTCACGGGCTGCGGGTGCAGAGAGTGGTTGGGAGTTGCCGGGTAAGAGTAATCTGTGACATCCGATGCGTGTGACCTGATGTGCAGGAAAGAGGGGTGGGAGAAACTGAAATTCAGTTAAAAAGATTCCCCTCCAGCAGGCATAAGCATATTATTTGAATAATAACTTTGCCCATGTACAGAAATTACACACTGATTTTCTTTACTATGGACTAGGTCCAGCCCCACGAGAGCTTCCAAGCAACAACATAATGACTACTTTAGCAGCAAGCCCCAGTGTTACATGGCTTCAGAGTCACAGCGTTGAAGTGACTAAGTCAGACAGATCGGCAAGCAGGGAACAGCAGAGCCCTGTTTCCGCAATATTTCAGCGTGCTTTTTTTCTAAGAGAGAAGGCTACAAGACAAATTCCATTTAATTAAAAAACAGCACCTGAGACAGGATTTCAGTGGCAACGGAACTGACAGCATATAATTAGAAATTATAAAATGGCAGGTGAACTGGATAAATATGAACAGTAAGAAGAGCAAAAGAAATCAAGAATGCAATTCAGTGGGTTGTAGTTTTCTTAAACAGAAGGACTGTATATAGCCAAAAGAGAAAGAATGCGGTGCAGTATGGAAAGGGCTTCTTTTCTTTGACGGCGGAGCGTGAAACTCTGGAAGGAATGGAGATGTGGTATTAGATGAGCAGAGCCTGGAAAGTTGCGGGTGCCGGGATGCCGGGGGGGGGGGGGGTGGGCCCCGTGGAGGGAGCATGGCCTCGTGAGGGTGGCGGCCACACAGGCCACAGGCATTAGTAAGGACAGCGGCGTGTCCCCGGCCCGGGCTACAGGCCAGCTCCGGGACGCATGGGATCAGAAAAGGGGCTGTGCAACCTGTGAGGGCAGCCAAAGCAGGGCAGGCAAGCTGAGGCCGGGGTCCGGGAGAGCAACATGACGAACCCTCTGGGCACCGTGTCCTCGGTGGCGCCCCCTGCCTGCGCCAGCTCCTTGGCGTCACTCATGAACTCAATGCCCATTTTCCTTCTCTCCCACTCCTCTCTTCTTGTCCTTACTCTTCTCACATGTATTTGCTGGCTTCTGTGAGGGGTCAGCTTGTGTCTCTCTCTCTGGAGGAAACAGGCAAACACACATTGGGGATGTAGAGGGTGGGGCGGGGAAGACACTAACCGAGTTTCTATCTTTGAAACTCAGGCAGCAGCTTCCCTAACTGGAGCATCACACAGCAGAGAAAACCATCCTAAACAACAAAAGGCTGCTTTTTTTTGCTTTGTTTCTTCCCTGATAGCAGTGTAATAATAATTGGCAACCCACTTTTCCTTCCTTAACCGCAGTATAAATTCTAGATTACAGCATGCATAGGAGTATGTCTTCTGAACTACGCAAACTATGCAAGGGGGTTAAAAATATTTAACATTTAAAAAAATTTTAATGGGAGAAGAAACTGACCTGGCTTTAGATTTAGCACATTTTAAAAACATAAATACCTAAAACTCTGGAGTCACTGGTGACGTGTGCTTGACTCTGTGTGCGTGCCTATGTCACAGATTGTGTGTACAACTTTCTCAAGGAAACAAAGTTATCTAGGAAAACACAGAGTGCTTCTGATGAGAAGAGGAGCCAGAAATTGTAAACACTGTGGCATGATTCAGAGTGCTACCTTCATAAAGTGGCTTTGTGACAGAGCCCCAACGGAGCCAGAGAAAGGGGAAGACCAGATGGAGGAGGGAGTAAGGAGCAGGCAGTGAGCATCTGAGGACCAGAACTGCAGCAGGAGAGTTCTAGAGGGCAGGGCTCTGGGGAAGGGTGGACTCGAGAGGGGCTGCTCGGTGAGGGGGGCACCAGCGGGCTGGGGGAGAGGTGGAGGGTAGGGGGCCTGCTGGGGGACAGAGACCCCCACAGGAAGTTAGCAATCAGCCACAGAAGATGCTGTACCAACATGGAGATGAGTGGGATGATGCTGCAGCGTCATGATCGGCACTAATTATCTGTCACAGAAAAGAGAACTGGTAAGAGTGAAGACCGCGTGGAAAAAGGAGGAAGGAAGTGTAGGCAGTGGAGACTCAGTGGGAGAATCCAAAGACTCCCCTGGGGTCTTCTTGTGGGTGGACAGGTGGGCAGTCGGACAGCTGTAGCATGGGGCTCAGGAAAGGAGGACATGAGTACAGGGACACTGGGCTGGAGGTCTCACACCGCCTGATGGCGAGAGAGGGCGGCAGGGAAGCATGCCCATTCTCATCCTAAATTTACGTTTACAATCAAACCATTCCTGATCTACAGAGAAAGCAAAATTTTATGGTTAGTTTACGTGGATTGGGTTAAAACAGATTACTTACATGAACAGTTCATACACATGCCATGAAATCTGATATTTAAATTTAACTGTTTTCCCCTATACATCCATTAAAAACCATGTTTCTAAACAACACTTAAAACATAAATATGAAATAACTAAAGTCAAAAGGTAGAAAACAGAGCATGATTTCAATTTTGTAAAAGAAAAACACATATTATGTACAGAAAAATGACCAAAGAAAGAAATACGCTAAAATGCAAACCAGTGGTTTCTCTGGATGATAGGATTATGGATAATTTTTCTCTGTCATTTCCAAAAATAAGAAGTTCAACTTATTTTATAATAAGAAAAAAGTGACATACTTCAGTAAAATAAAAAATAAAAGATTCTAAATTAAGGGATAGGATCCAAGTACAATCTATTATCTGGTACACGCAGATACTAAGAGGCCACAGGAAATAGGATTTACGTTCTGAAAAATAAGAGAAATGAATATCTATCTAAACAACATAAATACAAAGGCAGAATACCAAATAATCTCAGTAATCATCAATTTTATACCCAACACGGAAGAACTGAATCTCAGATGCTAGAATGAATAGCAATCATTCAACTGTGGGATTAAAAAAAAAAAAAAATCATTTTTCCATCTGTACCTACTTAAATAATATATATGGAGTATTATAAAATAAAGTATAAGTTTTACATGAGTAAATAATCACAATCATATTAGATGGGGGAAAAAAACCCCAAAAAACACCCTAGGGGCCATCTATCATATTCAAGTACCCCTCCTCACCCCAAGACCTGTGAGCAAACCTGAATCATCATTATTATTTTCTATGTAAATGAAAGGACATAGAGATTCACACTTGAGGTGAACACTCAGTTGCAGCTCCAATAATTCCCTAGTACTGAACAGATAACAGCTTGTACAGAAGAACTGCCTAGAACTTGCCTCTTAGCATAGCCAACCAATGACTGACAGCCCTTCTGGGGTAGGGATTGTTCTGGGCGTGGTAACTACCAAATATGAAATATCTTCTGTGTGCAGTCTGTGTTAGACACTGAGGTTATAGAGATAAAAATTAAGAAAAAAGGACACAGATATAACGTAAGGTCCAGGTTGTTGCTGTTTTTGAAACATTCTTGAGTCACGTAAGAATTCTCTATTCAAATTCTGAAATGCTGACAGAAGACTCTGAGGCTTCTGGCCAGTAGAAGACCACGACCTTACACAAGCAGAGACAGGAAATTAAACTGTCTAGTCTAGAAGTACAAACTGACTAGTGAGTCTCTGTCGTTCCACGAGTCCCTTTTGCAACAAATGTGACTTAGTGACCACATCATTCGCACCTGCAAGAAATATTTTTACTTAAATGCTTACAAATTCTTAAAGTAACTCCCAACAGAATTCTTCTCCTGAAATTAGAACACATGAGATTAGTAAATGGAAGAAATAACTATCTCTTTTGCTCATCACTCTTAGAAAAGGTTTCCAAAAAGAATAATAAAGTTCCATCTTAGGCACATCAATTACCACCTGCTAATTATTTTTAGTTTGATTATCAAGTGGCAAAGCAAATTCAACACTCTAAGCTAAAGAGGGAGAGAAAGGATTAAATGATTATTAAGATAAAAATGTAAGCCATTGGTAGTTACTGAGCCCAAATTTAGCATCAATGTTAAAAACACTACATCTAGGTTAGTGGAACAAAAAACTTGAGTCAGAGCGATGGAAAATCATACAAAGTAACCCAATGTAAAATGAAACCGCTTTCAAGTATTATTTCAAAATCAAAAAATACGTATCATTAATTTTTAAGGAAAGTTTTTGAAACATATCGTGGGCCATATAAACACCAAAGCCACTGGTGTGTTTCCAACATATAATAAAACCAAGTACTACGCGGAGGCTTTGCTACAACACACGCACACACACCTAGTGTCTGGGGACAGGGATCCCTCGGAAGACGCTCCGTGGTACACACTCTGAGACAGCCTGTTGTCGGGTCTAAGCTCTTTGTCATATGCCATCATACTCCACTCCTGGCGCCTGTTTCTGGCCTTCCTAACCTTTTTCACCTCCCGGGTTGTGCCATCTATACGCTTTTGCTCCTGACGTCCAGGAAGAGAAAGCAAGCATGCCGAGACAGAAGGGAAAGGAAAAGAGCAGGTTAAATGCAGTTGTAATGCACGGGAAACAAGCCCGGCATGCAGACAAGAGACATTCCCATTTCAGATCACACACTAACGTTAAGAAAATTCTAACACAGTATATATTCTCTTACCTGACAAAGACCCAGCAGTGGTAACTGATACTTAACCATTTAACCTAAATAAACAGAAGCTACACTGTGGCAGCTACCTCCAGAAATCGCTTACCATCATTTCTGGTAAAGAATTCACATCTTACTAGGTTTTCAGCTTGTTTTAAATGTACTAGATCTTTTAGATCTGCATTATACAGGTAAGTGTCTGAGATACAGACTAATCATGTCCTACCAGTACACAATTTCGACTGAAATGTTAATATGCAATCATCTTTTCACAAAATCACTCAAAATACTCCATTGCCAGGTTCTAAAAGATTGTTACAGAATATTTAAGCTAATCCTGCAACTAGCTTAACACAGAACAAAAACATGATAAGAACTTACCTTCCCATACAGAGAATCAGTCTTGCTCCAGCCCTACTTTGCCAACAAAAATGTATCCAATAAAAACTTGGGTCCTACATCGGTGTTTCTTTAAAGGTGAGGACAGTTATTCCTACATGTGTATGTGTTTTTCATATTTCCCAAATAAGAGGTTATGGTCTTTAAAGATGAGAACTACGTGCTTTTAACTCCTACACTCCCATTAAAGTACCTCCGCACACAGCTTCGCTTCACACAGAGTACACACTCACAAATGCTGACTAAGCGATCAGATCTGGGTGAGCTTACGGTGCTCACGACAACATCTCAGGCACCGTGTCAGGCGCTGATGATGCAAACAGCAGCCAAACACAAAAGACAAGGAATTGGCCTTCATGGAGCTTGCAATCCAGTGGGGGAGGCCCACAAAATCACACAAATGTACAGGTATAGCATATGGTAAAACGCCAATGCATTGTTTACTGAATGCTGCCTTGCGTGGAAGTCAGGGAGTGTCCTGGGGGCACTGTGACAAGCTCTGTCGTGTGGGCAGGCACCCATTCGGCAAAGGGGTCGGGTGCATGGCCAGAGGGGAGAGAATGTGCGCTGGCTCTGAGGAGAAGGCACATCAGGAGGAATGAAAGAAGGTCATGGGGAGTTAGGGGGAATGGCTCCTGCGATATAAAAGGTAGACCGGACCTCACAGGCTGGGGCAAAAGTGTTGTTCTTTATCCCCAGAGCAATGGGAAACCACTGAAGGTGAGAAGGGAGGGCTGATGCGCTGTGGAGGCATTTGAGAAGATCCTGTTGGCAGAGGGATGCGGGAGGCATGGGTGAGGTACTGGCAGAGGATGTGAACACGGAATTCACAGAACATATATAAATGCCTAATAAAGATATGAAAAGGAATGTAATGCAAATGAGATTTTTGGGGGGCGGGGGGATGAGTGCATCAAAAAAAGTAATAATGATATGCAGGTCTGGAAGAAGTCTGTTAAGAGCATAACCTGGTTCAGTCTTTTTAATGGTCAGGGGCAATATGATGGTATCTTTCAAAATTTAAAGCTCAGATTTGTTTTCCAGAAGTTTACCCAGAAGACATACCTGCGTGTGAGTCACGTAGTACCACAGTACTGTTAAGCAACTATTCACGAACAACTGAAATATGTCCTAATACAGTGAGGGGTAAATAGTTTATGTAGCATGCATACCTTGGAATACTATACAACTATTAAAAAGAACAGAGAACATCTTTAATTATGTCAATATATGTATATGTCTGCATGTGCGTGTGTATAAGTCATGTGTAGTACAATTCTATGCATGTAAAAGTACTTTGTGAAATGTATGCATATATTTATGAATGCTTAAAAAGTCTAAAAAGGTGCACACTCAATCGTTACTAGTGATTGGTGATACCTGGGGAAGGGAGAAACCTATCTCCAAATTTTCTAAACTAATGTATTTACTTCAGTGTAATGTGAGCACTTTACAACCAGCATGCATTGTCTGCATACTTGTAGAAACCAAAAGGAGAGAGATTTCAACGGATTTCAATACACGTCCTGATTAAGAACCACTGTATTAATCAGTAACTGTCATGCTTGCTTTTAATAAAAGACGTATGCTGACGTATTTAGATAAAGTGTTATGATTATCTGCAACTTTCTTTACAGGGGTTCAGCCTCCAAATCTACCCATCATCACGCACATGACACACACACACGTGCGCACAAACCGACTATGAAAAGGGTTCACAGTGATGCATTTGTACTCCAACTACACTGGCTTTGTATGAATGTGCCCAACTGTCTCCTAGCCTGGGATGATCCTAGCTGCTTCTACCTCAAACGCTCCTCGATTCTGAAGCACCCCACACCTCCTCTGCCCCCAACTCCTCCAGCACCCCCTCATGCATGCATGCGCATGCATGCGTGCGCGCACACACACACACTGACTCTGCTTAGCTTACTTCTAACTCCCCACTGTTGGAACTCAGTGAATGACACCACTTCACCTACACGGTTACCCGCCCCCCCGACCTTGTCACCTCACCTACCGCACGCCATACTTTTCCTTCACAACATTTACTAGGCACTGTAACTACACACTTACAACTACATATTTATTTGCATCATTTAAAAAATGTTTTTTAAACCAGCAAACTAAGGAAACCTAGTTCAGAAACAATGGATTTCTCATCCCCAAATTTTCTAAACTAACTTTTCCTTCAGAGAGACTTTTTAGCTCCAAACTGAAAGTAACCTGCATTTCTGAAATCCTAGGAAATGAAGGATAGCTGGTCCCAGTTTCTATTCCTACATAAGAAAAGCATATTTGTATTAGAATTTTCAAAATTCTTTCCCTCTTTATGAGTTCCAGTGGGCCGCATGATTACTTAATGTTTGTTTCCCCCACTACATTGTAATCTCCGTGAGGGTTATATAAGTGAATAAGAAATTCTTATCAGAATTTTATGCGTTGGAGGAATGTGTAATGAGACAAAACAGCCAAGGAAATGGCATAATTTTGAAGACATGATAATCATCCATAGACTAAGACTGTTTTCCCCTGAAGAACACTGCTGAAAAAATTAGATACTTTTGCTTAAAGTATCACTGAGAAGGGAAACCTAGAAGACCATTTAAAAGGACAGGCAGGTTTTAAAGGAATATATTCTTAAATCCCTGTTAGTATAAAAAGGTATAGGGACCAACCAGCCTCTAGATACCTGTTTCTTTTCCAGTCAAGAGATTAGGATCTTTCTTTTCTTCACTTAAATACTTTATACTTTCTTCATCACTTGAATATTTTTCCCCTTCAACACTCAGCAGCTCTTCCAAGATTTTCCCATTCATCTCCCCACCCACAGTACAAAAAGAGAGCATGAATAACCAACCTTTACAATTCTTTCCTGGATTTCGGAGGGAACAGCTTACACTTGTAGTCTCCAAACTGTTTCTATGTTCCCTTTCTTAAATCCTGTTTTCTAATCTCAAATTCTCTTCCATCCCAAACTGTTGCTTCTATGGGGCCAGTACATCGAGATGCCTCCAAACACTAAGGTCACTAACCCACAACATGCTAAGAATTTGTCTTAACGAAAGCACTCTAAGATTTGTCAAGCAAACCAGGTGCTCATTTTTAAAAACATAGTTTACATATAAAAGTCTTAGCAAATATTTGCCTTTGGAGAATTAACTCTCAGGAGGTTAAGTCTAATTTCTGGGTGCTAAAGAGGGGAAGTTCTTAAGATAGAAGTCCCTAAACCTGGGCAGAGTGTGATTATTCTTCCAAGAGCGCTCATAATGTGGATGTTTCTCAACCTTCAGACTTGCAAGTCACTTGCCTACTACACCCCACCAAAAGGAATTTCATCTTTTGGTAAATACTATGCCCTAAACGTACAGATCACACATGCTTTCAATCCAATATGAACATTTCCTTAAGGTGTTAATTATAGTGAGATGGCAACGCACCAATTAAGAATGCTTTAAAGAGATGAGAGCAGGTCATTATATCTGATATGAAATGTTGACTGCTTTGTTAAATTTAAAGAGCAGAAGAAAAGTTATAAAACATGGTTACAAACAAAACTTCCAGTCGCTACTTCTATTCAAGCAAAACAAGTAGTAGGGAACAAATCAGGCAGTATTTACTGAAAAATAGTATTACTGTGTTAGACTGAACCGCCAGTATCTTCATGTAAAAAATGAAACCTGTACTTCACTAAATCCAATATCTCAACCATTTACATAAAGGACTTACTGACTTATTTCTAAACAGGGATCCCATTTAAACGTCGATTCACAAGTTCCCGTACTAGAATTATTTACCTTTTGACGCCTCTTCTCCTTCCTTTTGTCTTCTGTGTCCTGCAGCATTTTTTCTTTCCAGAGGTCAAAGAAATAGGAAGGATCAGTGTAGAACTTCAGCCCATCCTTTTTATCATCTCTGTAAATCAATGTAGCACAAGTTGGGGGAAAAGGCTGTTAGACATTTTCATGTGGGGTGAATAATCACTTAATTTAACTCATGAGATGGTAACATCTACATGGGGCACTTTGACTGTCCTACACATTAAGTCTCTCTGGATCTCCTTATTTGAAAAAAAAAAAAAGGTGAACATGCAAGAACAGCAACTTTTTCTAGAATAATTACATAAAAAGCACTCTTGCCAATTCAGATTTAAGTACAGAAAAGTGCATCAAAATCACAATATGGCTCATAAACAATGATATCTGATACCTCAATTATTTCAGGAAATGTTTTGTTTATTCCAACAGGAGTCATACACAGAGATGAATGGATTCTTGGTGTGTATAGATATTCACCTCTACTCTGGAGCTTCAATATTATCAGGATAAAAATTAGTAAGGACACTGTCCCTTTTATCAGGTTGGCCCAACATCTATAAACTCAATTCAGAAAGAAGCAAAATGTTCCCAGTGTATTAGGTGTGATGGAAGGTGAAGTAACCCACAAAGAGAATTCACTCGTGGCATTTCACTTTCAAGTCCTGCTACAACCACTGTGGTCTAAGGACTATTTCAAGTATTTATATAAGTTATTCATCTATCATAAAACCAATACAAATCCCAAGCTGTAATATAAATCAATAGGAAAGCTCAAAATAATCCTAACATGAACTAAACACTCTATACGACTAATGCTTTAAAAAAGTATCTGGTCTGTAGATTACCTTCAAGAGGAAGCAGAGCATTTACATTTCAAATCAGTGTTTCAATAAGTCATTTACGGCACAGAGAAAAGCAAAATGAAATGAGGCACAGTGAGGTGAGCATAAGAAAGAGTTTATGCCCAAACAGTCAAAGAAAACTAAATGAATGAGTCCAGGGGAAAATCCTGCCTGCTGGTCCCTGATGTTCCTGCTATGCCACGTTCATCACAAACTAAGGCCCAGGTTCCTATAGGTGTTACTCTGGCCCATCAACCGTCTGAAAATCACTAGCCATGGCAATTCACTTTACACTTCAATCTTTATTACTTGAAACCCTTCTTTTCCTTTCCAAGTTTCCTAACTGCACTATTGCACTATTGATAGGAGACCTGCATTATAGAGATTTTATTAATAACATTACTGTGAAAAATATAGCCTCCCAAAGATACCAGGCCTTCCGAATGGATTGAAGATACAGAAAAGCTGAACAGTAACTTGCTACAAAATTTAAGACACAAAATGCACAGTTACTTGCTACAAAATTTAAGACATATAAAATGCAGTTTTCTTAAAAAAGGGGAGTTAATACTTTAATGAAGGCAGAAGCTCATGTCAATAAACAAATATTAATCTCAACATAAGAATATAAGCAGCAATGTCCTATGTTGATAGCAACCAAATACTTCACTTTCCAGTCATGTTGTAATGCTCATATATTAACACGGTCTTCAGTGTTTTATATACCTCAAATACTACTTTATTGTCAAAAAGTACATTTGAGTTAGCACTGCTATTCTTAAACACACTATTAAAAAGTCAGACATTTTTATTTTCCATTAAACTGAATATACACATATAATATATATCAAAGTCAATTCATTTTTTATACAATTAAAATTTGTCTATCACCACAAGTATCTAATCATGATCTCGATTCATCAAATATAAGTGGTCCACTGAGTTTTCTAGATTTTTTCCTTTAGAACAGAATATTTACTGAGGAAACTTTCTTAGGAAAGTTTTAACAGGCCTGCCCTTGGGGCTTCTAGTGCTAAATAAAACTGAAATTGCCCCCCCGCAAAATGCCTATTGAATGAAAGCAAAAGCACAAGATAAAACATCAGGCTTACAATACTGCTACTCATGTAGATCATTAATTTTTAGATGAGTGTGCTAAATAAAACTTCCAGAAAAGCATACTCCTAGAAAGCTGTGGCCCACTGGCCCTCTCCCATCATAGTTTCCATGGGATTTCTATTAGGTTTTCTCTCCGTGCTGAAAGAAAGGGATGCTGCTGGAACTGCTGCTTTATTAGCAGAGCTGCAACAGAGGGTGGGTCCAAACACCTCCCTTTGGACCCTGAGAAGGAACAGGAATTCAGACAAAAAAACCTCAGGGCACTCCCTGAGAAGGACCAAAGGCCCAAGATGGTGGCACCAAAAACAGAGAACCCACTCGATGGTAAAGGGAGTCTGTCAGCCAGCGGAGCTAGTCCTGTGGGCCGTGAGGACACCCTCCACCACAGCCTGTGCTCATCAGAGGCTGAGGGCATGAGCTTACCTGGAGGGCAAAGGCAGAGAAGAACAAGCTGTACGATGAAGGGCAGTGAGAAGGTATGTGGAAAAGGGAGACGAGGATGAAGGTGACAAAATATGGAAAGAAAACCCTAATGTGGTAAGAGGTAGGAGAGGTGTTTTTTAACAAGCATTTTTAGTTTCTTAATTAATTTTTTGCACTATTGATTTTCCATTCTTATTCTGGAAAGTTTGGTCCTGATACCGTGTCCCACCATTTTAGAGTAACAGGTTAATTTGTTGACTGTATTATTCACTCGTAAAAACCCCTATTGCTGCAGCATACCTTTTTCTGAATTAAATAACAAATGTCCCTGCAGTGCTGAAATGCTGAGAAAGGTATTTCGCTGCATTATAAATGAATTATGCAGTTCCTTTCAAATGGACTTTGAATATGAGGAACAACATAAGCACACACAATACTATGCAATGTGTCCACTTCTACTTCAGATGTCTACACTCAGGTATCTACAGAAGTAGCTACCTACTACAGATATCCACCAAAGCTAACATTAGAGCTCATACTTCTCTTGGTGAGTTTATCTCTATTTTGAAATATTAAACCTTTAACAATTCTGTACTGGTAAACTAATTTTGTGGCATATAATACCTGCGATTATATTCAAAGTTTGAAAAACTACGTCCACAGCACTGTCCTCCTTCCTCAGCTTATCTAGACTAAAAAGGCACTGGGAATGCATGAAGCCATACCTGTATGGTGTAAGGATATTCAGAGGAGGTGGCTTATCACTCTGGTTGTAAATGTCAGCAACAGGATTAGGAATGCTGTTCTTTGAAACCACCTGCTGGTCTTGGACTGTGGAACTTTTGAAAGCTTTTTTCATGTTGATATCCTGTAGTGACACTATTTAGAAAAAAGCCCCCCAGGTTGAGTTATATTGAAATATTTTTAACTGTTTAGCAATAAGTCTCATTTGAGACACAATCACAAATAGAATTTATGATTCTAGAATAACAAAATGTTTTTATTGTTCATTTAAAACCATGCTTACATAGCATGTACATTCCTTCCTTCTTATAAATAACAGCTGTCTCTATAAAATGAAGACAAATCACGTCTTTTCTTCTTCTGTAGTGATCTAATTATTTCTTTGAACTTAACATTAGAACATTATTCTTTACAATAGCATTTTTCAGAAACCACGCAGGAATATAGTTGAGTATAACAGGCATGTAAACACAAAGGTTTGGGTATCCTGGAGGAAAAAAATGTTCAGTTAATACCAGCTGAACGTAATACATGTAGGCAATACGTCTGTAAAAAATATACAAATGTAAAAAATGCATGAAGTTTTCCTGACACTAACATTAAGGAAAGATGGCAAGGCTTTTCAAAATACGTATAGTCCTAGAAATTAAGTAGCAGCATATAAAACTACACTCCAAGGGAAGAAAATCAGGGCTGATTATACCTATTTCTTGTGTTTGTGCAACACTTCACATCTCACGTATTAACTCATCTAACTTTGACAGAAGCTTTTGAATTGGGCAACCTGGTCCATTAACCCACTTGACCAATGAAGCTGAGAGCTGGGTGTTAAGCGACTCTCCCAAGATCACCCAGGGAGAAAAGGCAGACCCAAAATAGAACACAGATTTCCTAACTTGGTCAAATGTTTTTTCTACTATAAAATCCATGCAAAAGACAGAAATCAGGTAAATCTTGAGTGGAAGGGATTTTAAGGATATGAGATATACTGTAAAATCTTAAGAAATCTAGTGTACAGATTAACCTTTTCCAGCACAAGTTTTATCACTCGTTTTCCAATTGCAAGATCCCACAAAAAACTGAAGGAAGATGAATAAACACTAAAAATCATCTGTGATACCAATGTGAAAATGAATGACTGGCTTAAGATGCTAACATTTCTTATCTGAATAGACCAAATAGCTATCCAAGGTTTTACTTTTTTCAAATAAGATAAATGTTAAAAATCAGATTAAAGAATGTATCATAATGGGTATTAAAATTTCAATGCTCTACATTTTTGTTAAATTTCTAATTCACTAATATTGATCTTTGAAAAAGACCCGAACAGGAGTAAACACATTTTTTTAAATGATGAGGGATGAATTCCCTAAAACACATTTAAAAAAAAAATAAAACTTCCACTTTTTTATTACTACTACTGTTAAGTCTAGTAGAAAAATCATATACTAAGTCCATTTTAATGCAACAAGAGAAATCATAACTACCACTATATAAAGGTAAAAATAATTAACCTGAACATTTTTCTCAAATAAATATGAAATGCTGTATCTTCTACTTTTTTTGCAGATTTTTTTTCCAGTGTAATCTCAGTCTCTCATCCAAAAGATACAGAAAGAGAAATCTTTAAAAAGGAGTTGTTGAATTTTCATTTTATTGAAACTGTCACAATTTCAGGGTATATCCTCAAAATGATTATCAGTTACCTACACAGTGCTTACCACTTTTAACTTTACTTTACAACCATGACACCTAAAGGTCATCAGTAAATGCTATTTCTTGAGATGTTAAATCAACAGGATCACCACGATTATTTACAGGCATCAACCCCAACAAGGGTAGGAGGTGGACACCTTCACTCAGTCACGCTGTGTCTGTATCACCCTCCCTCTTAGCTGGACCACATCTTTGGAGTGATTCTGTGATTTTTAGGTAAGAAAGTATCTTTAAAAGAATCACCAATGACCTAAACTAGGGTTTCTAATACCAAAAATATTCAAACAAATACTATACGTGTATATTTTTTAAAAAGAGAGTATGGATGGCATCTATGAGGCAAACAAGACTCTAATTACTACCTTACCCAATATTGTGCCCCCCCCAATATTCTTCTAGAAAGGACAAGATGAAATATCAGTACACTACCCCAAGGAAAAAGCAGTGATTACACTGCAATTAATTACTACCGTCTTGTCACCATCACTTCTAGCTCATTGCTTTCATGCAATTACCTACCTTCTTCCACTGTTGAATCCAGCTGGGTAACTTTGACAGCAAGGCGATCAATTCTGTCTTGAAGAGAATTTGCTCTGATGTAGAAGTTGTTAGCCTCATTAAACAGCTCACCAAATATGTCTTCAGCATGTTTGCCTAGAGAAGAAAATGAATGGAGAAGGCCATCTGTTAAGAAGTGCTGAAGCAGCCTTCACACGTTCTCGCCAATGCTGATTACTGTCAACATGTAGGATTTTGTGCAAATGATTATAAAAATAGTGTCACAGTCAAGGGCCTTTAGAACTTTTGAAAATGTATTGTGGATATTAACATTTATCTGAAATTGACCCAAAGTTGTATAGTTTTAAAACACCCCAGGGAGTACAGCACTTTCATTTAATTGCTCCATGAGCTATCATCCAAGTTGTTTCCCATTAAACTTCTTTGGGAAAAAAGGACTTTCATTTTGCATGCTTTATGAATAAATAAAATCTTGGGACCTTAACCTTCCTTTTACTTCCCAAGATAAATAAATCATGTTGGTTTCTAAATTTGAGATTTTGCTTCATTCACCATTAGAAACGTTGTGTCTAACACTCTCCAATGGCACGAAACTGTTCTAATTCATATTTTGAAATCTAAATATAGTGCTGACTCTGGCACTCTCTAAAAATCAATATTTTGTATTCGGAGTTAAATTTTCTGTATGGATTCTTGTGAGTGCCAGACACAACTACTCCCACTTTTCTTAAAATGTAAAAAAAAAAAAAAAAAAAAATTTCTGAAAAGATAGGAGTAAGTACCTGCTTGAATTTCCAAATCCTAACATCATTCCTTTATTCATTCAACAAACATTTAATAACTGTCTACCCTGTGTGTGCAAGGCACACCTGCATCGTATCTCCTCTGCCAGAGAGAACCACTTTTTAAAAAATAGACTTTAAGAACAGTTTCCAGTTCACAGAAAAACTGAGCAGAAAGCACAGAAAATTCCCATATAATCCCTGCCCCCCCGCTATCAACATCACACACCAGAGTAATGCATTTGTTATAACTGATAAACCCACACCGACACGTCATTACAGCCAAAGTTCAGTTTACATTAGGGTTCACTCTTCATGTTATACATTCTATGGATTTGGACATATGTATAAAGACATGTATCCACCATTATAGTATCATATAAAATAGTTTCACTAATAAAAATCCTTTATGCTCCACCTATTTATCACCCCCCACCCCCCCCATTCAACCCGGGGCAACCACTGATTTTTTTACTGTCTCCACAGTTTTGCCTTTCCTAGAATGTCATACAGTAGAAATCATAATTAATTATAATTAATCATATTCACTTAGTAATAAGCATTTCAGGTTCCTCCACATTTCTTCATGGCAAGACAGCTTATTTCTTTTTAGCATTGAATAATGTCCCACTGTCTGGATGTACCACAGTTTGATTATCCATTCACCTACTGAAGGACGTCTTAGTTGCTTCCAGTGTTTGGTGGTGATGAATAAACACATCTGTGTGCAGGTTTTTATGTGGACATGAGTTTTCAACTCACCTGGGTAAATACCAAGAGGCAAGACTGCCACATTGCATGGTAAGAGCATGTTCATTTTTATAAGAAACAAACTGTCTTCCAAAGTGGCTGCACCATTTTGCATTCCCACCAGCAACAAATGAGAGTTCCTGTTGCTCCACATGCTCATCAGCATTTGGTGTTGTCAGCTTTCTGGATTTTAGCCCTTCTAAAAGGTGTGAAGTGGTTATCTCATTTTAATTTGCATTTCCCTGATGACAGATGATGTTAAATATCTTTTCATATGCTCTATGCCTGTCATCTGTACATCTTCTTTGGTGAGATGTCTGTTCAGGTCTTTTGCCCATTTTTAAATCAGGTTGTTAGTTTTCTTGGTAATGAATTTTAAGAGGTCTTGGTATATTATGGATAACAGCCTTTTATCAGATTATGTCTTCTGCAAATATCTTCTCCCAGTCTGTGGCCTGTCTTACTCTCTTGACAGTATCTTTCACAGAGTCCAAGTTTTTAATTTTAATGAAGTCCAGCTTATCAAGCATTTCTTTCATTGTGGTGCCTTTCTTTGGTGTTGTATCTAAAATGTCATCACCATTCCCAAGGTCATCTGGATTTTTCTCCCATGTTACCTACCAGGAGTTTTATAGTTTTATGTTTAGGATGATGTTCCATCTTGAGTTAATTTTTGGGAAGGGTTTAAGGTCTGTGTGTAAACCTACCATTTATTTCCATTTCTACCAATTTATCACTCAAATGAGAAGAGAACCTAAATCTTCTGGAAAGAATACTTAAAGCCACAATCACCATGATGTTTTCATAGTGCTTTACAATTTATATGGTGCTCTGATATCCACTTTCCAGACTGCTGTAATTCACAATGGCAAACTGTGAGAGTAAGAACCATGTCTGTCTATTTAGTGTTGCAGCCCAGCCCTAGAATAGTGCCTCCTGACAAACGCCTGTTCGATGAATGCATCAGCTCATGAGGTCAACAGTGAGTTACTGCTTTCATTTTCCAGATGACTAACCTGACCATCGAAAGATGATCTGTCCAAATCTCATGGCTAGTAAGTGGCAGTAAGAGATGAAACAAAACTCTGGTCTTCTAACTTCTAATCCCTTGCTTTTATCATATACTTCCCTGAACTTCCTTGCCTAGGAATTAGCAACTTCCATGAATTATTTCAGGCCATAAGCCATTTGCTAATTTCCTGTTTACTTAATGAAATGGACTGAAATATTTGCTGCTTAAATGGTCACTCCCAGACAATGGATGAGCATTTCTTGTGAATCTAAAAGCAATATAATTTCATAAACTCTCATGGTGTAACTGTCTTAACAAGAGGAACTTCCTCTTAAAAAATAAAAGCAGTAAAGAAATCAATAAAAACATCTTGTATCTAAAAAGTCATCTCTCCTGCCAAAAACGGAAGAGGAATCCCCAAGACTACTGATTTCAGCAGAGCAGTAAATTGTTTCTCTTAAAGCCTGGTATCTATTGTATGGTCCTCTGGAGTCACTTAAAATTCTGCCAGCAGTTTCCACTCCCACAATATATACAGTGGTTCCCAAAAAGGCAAAGGAATAAAATAAAGTCTTCTCACAAATTATATGTTTTTCAACTCAGTAACCAGATGTGGTATCCAGAATTAAAGTTTGTTCACTGGCTTATACACCCTTTCCTGAGTGCCGGACTTGTGTATCTAATTAGCTCATGAACATCTCCATGTTGACATCCTATAAAGAATCCCAAATGCTGTACAAATTCCAATAGGAATTCATTTTCACATTAACTCAAACCTGCATCCCCGTGTGGAAAGGCATCAACCAACCCAAAATGAAACCCAGGCAGAAATGGAGTCATCTGTGGTTGCTGCCGCCCACTACAACTCACCGAACACCAAACCTCAGCACTCATCTCTCCCCAGCACCCCTGAGCTCACACCTTCCCTGCTTCCCTCCTGCCCTACATAGATCAACAGCTTTGGGCTGTTTTGCTTTCAAGTTCACTTCCCACCCTCAAATCTATTCATCACACCGCTGCCAAATGATCTTTCTTAAAGAAAGATCTGACTGTCCCTCCTATTCAAATTCTTCATTGCTCCCTATCATTCTCAAGATAAAATCTAGGCCTCTCAGCAGGGCGCAGAAGGCCCCGTGCACCTCTCTTCTGCCCTTCCTTTGTGCTCCGGTCAAAATGAACTGTTTGCAATGCCTAAACCTGTTCCCCTTTCCCACAGATCCCGCTATTGGTCTGCACTTTTAAATCCCTCCCATGCTTTGTCACCTCACTCAGAATAAAAGCCAAAGGCCATGGGAGGCTTATAAAGTGATTTAACTCCATTTACCCTGCTGGCCTCATCAACTGTCATCCTCTCCCTTGCATATTCCACTCCACCTACACTGTCTCCTTGCTCTTTCTCAGACATGACAATCGTTCTCGCTTCCGGTCAGGTGTTTGCATTTCCTGTTCCTTCTCCCTGGACCATTTTGTCCCAGAGACTCACAGGGTCTGGTCCCTCACTTCATCCAGATCTATACCCAAATGTGACCTTCTAAGTGAGACACCTCTAGCAACCTTAGCTAAAAGTGCCATCACCTCATATGAGAATTTTGAGAAACAAGACAGAGGATCATAGGGGAAGGGAGGGAAAAATGAAACAAGACAAAAGCAGAGAGGGAGGCAAACCATAAGAGACTCTTAATCTTGGGAAACAAATGGAGGGTTGCTGGAGTGGAGGGGGGTGGGAGGCATGGGGTGGCTGGGTGACAGACATTGGGGAGGGTATGTGCTATGGTGAGCACTATGAATTGTGTAAGACTGATGAATCACAGACATGTACCCCTGAAACAAATAGTACATTATATGTTAATAAAAAAATTTAAAAAAAAAAGTGCCATTATACACACCCTTGTCCCCTCCCTGCTGTATTTTTCTCCTTAGCACTTATCACCATGCTATAATTGTACACTTGTACTTATTCATCTTGTTTCCTGCCTGTCTCCTTCCACGAGAATGTACGATCCAAGAAGACAAGGACTCTCCTCGGTTCTGTGCACTGCTTTATCAATCCCCAAGGTCTAGGACATGCCTGGCTTATAACAGGTGCTCAAAAAGATTTTGGAATAAATGAATAAAAATGCATTAACTTAAAACCAATCCTTCAGGATGCAGATAGGGGTCTATAAGATCAGATGCCTCTCTCTGTGTTCCCACAATACCTTAAGTATACCTCAGTCACAGGACTCTTCACATAACCTGAACATTGTCTTTGTGTAAGTTATTTGAGGGTATGAGCGATGCCTTTTATCTCTGCATTGCCTGTGCTGAGTTAGTGCTCAGTAAGTACCTCCTGAATAAAAAACATATGATCTCTTCCAGTGTTTTCTTGTTAACAAGTAGACAACCAACAAACCCTCCCTGCCCAAGTAAGTTTGGGAAATGCTGGGCTAAAAAGATTAAACATGCTTCTATGCCTGGGGGTATCTCAAATCTTTAATACGCTAATGTGCAATAGGAATCTGCAAGAGATGCATCTAGCTCACCATGTTTTCAAACTAACGGGGCCTGGAAACACCTAATAACATCCTCTGGAACTACTGTTTTATGACACCCATTTAGGAAAATGACTGTCCCTTCAATTG